TTCATCTTTTTTTTTTGTTGGAGAATACAGTCCCACCGCCCACGGATCTTTTCTGTGTTTGCGCCACTGAGTTTAAGTACTCAACTCTAACACAAAACAGATTGGTATTGACACCGTAATAATCACAGTTGACACAAAATAGACAATCATAAACATTATAAATCTTGGAATGTAATATATCTTACACGGAATTTTAGAGTAAGAACAAAATAAGATACCTTGGAAAATTAAACATAAAAAATCCAATTGAAACATATAGCCTAATTCGCCGAAATGCAATTATGCAATTTTTTTTCATGTATAATAAAAACGAATGTTGAAGGCGATGTCCTTCACAATAAATCTAGAACAATAAGATTTTTAGTGTTATCACTATCTTCTAGACCCTTTTTCAGTAATTCTACTGGAGAACAATTTGTTTTTTGTTTTCTGTTGTCAAAGAATTTTGAACGGATATTACTCGTTGATACTTTTGTATCACTCCATTTCAAATCTGCAATTGGTTTCTCCCACCAAGCTATTTTCTTTATGACACTTTTTGTCCATTTTTTTTTGTCGCTATGCCCAAGTTAAAAAGCGTTATATATATCAGGAGGTCGTATAAATGTTACAACTAGTAGGGGGCATTACGACTTCTAGGAGAGTTAAGACACCTCGTCAAGATTAAAATTGCAAAGGTATCCGTGTTCGGAAATGTAATACGCCGCTAGGAGCGCTTCCCTATCCTGAACTGATTCTCCTTGTGCTTCTGAACAGGTCCTGAGCCTCGTAGGATGACAATTCAGAGCATGGGTTCATATACATTTTTAATCCTAATGATGCGCCCTAACTTCCGCTAGAAGCTATGTGCAACATTTGCGTGGTCCATCCTGCTATATATAATAGGGGAGAGTGGGGTCAATTGTAACAGGGTACGATTGTAACAGAGCAAAAATTTCGAGTGTCGGGTTCTAGATTTGGCTCCTAGGTGGCGCACAAGGTGCATTTATCAAATCTACATGTACACCCCTGATGGCAACCATTTTTATGTACTTTTGAAAAAGTTACATCGCAAAAGATATTTTCACGCNAAATTGTACATTTTGACAAAAAAATGGATTAAAAATAACATTTAAAAAAGTCTGTAGCTTTCCATAAAAACAATTTTCAGATTTCGAAATCTCCACGCATAGATTAGGTATGGTTAAGTATTTATACAAGCAAAAATTTATTCCCCAGTCTTAAAGTTTTTTCAGAGTGCCGTCAATGCAAAAAGGATCGAGAAACACTGCTCAAACGCATAAGGCATGGGACAAATTTACAAAAAGTTTACTTTTATACAGTGGCATCAGAGACACTGGTTTGCTGTCTTAGAAAGTATGGCGATCTAAATACGAATTTTTTTTCATATATAAAACACCAGTGGGTTAAAAATGCTTTAATTCTGATTTATTATAAAAATTCTTTTGCATCGAAAAGCTGATCTTTCAAAATTCGGTTGTTTTTATAAATGGGTTTAACCTTTGTGAGAGCTTTATACCTAAATATACTCCTCTTCCCTAAAATGGATTCCCCCCCCCAAAAAAAAAGAAATAATCTATAATTTCAAGTTTTAAATAGTTATGAAATAAAAATACTGAGATTAACTTATTTTTGTCTAGACTGATTGACTAAGATCGAAGTAAAAGGAAGATAACTGAATAATTGTAGAAATCTGTTAATTCCGGAATTGTCAACAATATTTGTCAAAATTCAAATGTTTGGCGGAATGAAAGGGAAAATAGTTTCAGTATTATTGATATTTTAATTGGATTCTTCTATTTTAATAGTTATGAAAAAGAAAATGAAGTTCACGCAAGTAAGTGAAAAGATAATGAAATTGACAACTAAAACGAGAAAGACTAATTCGATTTGGGAAATCTAATGTTGAGAGATCTAATGTTTATAGATAATGATTTGAGGAAATAGCTCAATAAATTTACCTTTTATTGAAAATAAATTGTTAAAAATGGAAATTGATGGTAAATTTCTTTATTAAATGTAAGCTGTTATAAAGGGAGACTAATTTGATTCAATGGGTGCCTTATGTTTAGACATATGAATACGATAAATTCATAAGACATTATATTCGAGATAAATATCGAGTAAACTTTTTATTCTTTAGTGAAAACGTAATAAATAAAAATAAGAAACATCAGAAAACTGCTAAGAGAATATAATTTCTCACTAAAATTTGAGTTAAATAATTGGAACGCATGCGCTGCTTTGTAACGTTCAGGTCTGTTGCCGTCATGCTGCTCTAAACTCGAAATTTAATGCTGCTATAGAGCTATGCTTGGAATTAAAAAAAAGAAAACGAGTGAATAACGAGAGGAAGAAAGTTCATCAGATAGCTCTGAAGCCCCTATTTATTTAAAAAAATTACCATTGCGATAATCTAGACTAAATAAAATAATATTCTATAATTACAAATGACGACAATACAGAAGGCAGTATTAAATTACTCTAAGTATATTTTTTCACGCATGCTTAAATATTTCTGGCAAGTGCAACTTTGGAAAGAAACGCATGGGGAAATGAATTCAGCAAATGCACGCGTTCCCTTTTATCTAATCTACATTGTAGATAAGATTCAATAAATTATATATAGATTATTATGCATATTATATATATTCTATAGAATAAACTACATCTAAATACCTATTCAGTAATACAATATATACTAATACAATATATAATCTATTGAGCAATTAAAGTTGAAAATTGGAAAACTATTCTGAAGGTGAATCGATTTAAGATTTTTTAAAATCCTTTGAGGAATAATTTGGGCACAACTATAAATGAATCTTATTTTTATAGTCTGATAACTAGGTCTCGTAGTCTCTCCTCTGCCACAGCTTTATGCTTATGCGATCACCAAGTCCATTTTAATTTATGGCAAAAATATAATTCTATACATTTATAATAGTTTTGATAATGAGTCAAAAAATTTTTTCAGCAGCCCGTGTTATTTTTGTGATTTAATCTAACATCACAATAAGCATTTTCTAATTAAAGAGAAATGCAGAGTTGCATATTAAATGAAAAAAGTTTTTTAAGTCCTTTTATAAAACCATAAAAATTAATTAATATTAAATGATAAATCAAACAAATTCTTACGCTTTTATATTATATTTGGTACAAGAGGAAAGGACATTGAAGAATTTTATAAGAACATCATTTCTATATTCCATGTTTTTCTTGGCTCAATCTAATTTTTTATTTTAACATAATGATTTTTTTGGGAGATTTAAATATTGTGTAATATCATGAATATTATACGTATAATAATTTTAACTGCAATACTCTTAGTAAACAAAAGATAAAATATTTAAATAGTTTTTCTCAGTTGAAATAAATTCCCCAACTTTGTTTTTATTTTAATGCAAATTGGAATTATAAATAGCTGTAAAATAGCAGTTTAAGGTAGAAAATATAAATAGCCGTTTAATGTAGTCACAATCAAAGCGACTCTCAATTATTGATACGTTTCGGAAAACTGCTTTAAGTTACATCAGCTATCATACACATATATCACAAAATTAACTAAATAAAAAAAAATCTTACAACAGAATTAATGACATTATGGAAAATTCGTATACGACTAAATATAATATTACTTTTCAGATATAACAATAATTTTATTTAATAAAAAGTTAGGTTTCGAATTTGAAAAATAATATTTTCAATTTATAAATGAAAAGCTTGAATGCATTATAATAAGCCACAACACTTCCAAGGGGACATTTGTTACAACAAACTGTTCCATAGTATTGTTTCAAAGCAAGTTTCTGAAATTCACAATACACATAAAAATATTGCCTACAGGGGAATCTTAGTATCTGTAGAAAAAACTCTTGAACAATTTCAAAACGTTTATCATTATATTGTCCCAAGCCTTTCAAATGAATGATGAGCTTAATGAAATATATTAAGTAAAATTTTATCAGAGTTGGAAATATTTATCAAAAAAGATTTAGAAACATCAAAAAAGCAGATTTAGAAACATTTTCTTAAAAAAAGGAGATTCAGAAGCATTCATCATAAAAGCAAATTTAGAAGCATTTATCATAAAGAAGATTTAGAAATATGTATCATAAAGGCAGGTTTAGAAACATTTATCATAAAGGCAGGTTTAGAAACATTTATCATAAAATCAGATTTAGAAACATTTATCATAAAATCAGATTTAGAGACATTTATCATAAAATCAGATTTAGAGACATTTATCATATAATCAGATTTAGAGACATTTATCATATAATCAGATTTAGAGACATTTATCATAAAATCAGATTTAGAAACATTTATTAAAAATGTAAACATCGATAACTTAGTTTAAAGACTGCAAAATCATAAGTTCAAACTTCTTATAACAGGTTCAAAAAAATTGAAATATTGCGTGTTTTTGAAATGTTATCTAAGATACTAATCCACCTAGCTCTTCAAATACTGAATTCACTTAAACAAAAACCACTCACTGTAATTACTAAATTATAAACATTAAGATTCCTAAGTCAATTTATAAAATCGTGTCATTTATATAAATTCTATTTTTATATTATGTATTTTTATTAATCTCAAACAAATTATATAATAAAAATTTACCTACTATAATTAAAAGATTTTTTTAACATTATAAAACTTATTCATAAATAATTTAATCGATAGTTAATTACCAAAACTGGTTTAAGCTACCAAAATTCGCCAATGAAAATAATTGACAATATATAATAAATACTCGTCAATAAGTCGTCAATGACTTAAATTTTATGAAAAATGGGAGTTAAAAAAGAAACTCTAAAGTGGATATACGTTAAATAAACATTCTGAAAACCATATGCTGGAAAACTTCAATAGTCTTTTTACGTTCTACATTTGACTAAGAAAAAAAAAATACTAAAAAGACAGCTTTATGCAGCAGAAACGTGCAAATAAATGAAAGGCCGATAAATTTGTAAACAATAGAAAAAAAGACTCACCTCCACAAAAGCAGCCGAATGGGAAAATAATGTAGATGAGTTTAAACACTTATCACAGCTCTTAGAAAGCAAAGCTGAAAAGAAAAGTGAAGTTTTTGTCTACTTAGGGCGTGGAATGGACGTTCGAAAAAAAGATTCTTTTTCTTTAAATCTCTCACCCCCGCAAAAGGTATGAATGTCGAATGGTCACCTTTACTGACCACCACGATGAGGGTCTTGTTCTTCTTTCAGCCGGCTGGAATCGTTCCCATGTAGATGGATGCTGGTTGAAGAAAGAGATGAAATGACCTGCTTTCCACTGCAGCGGGTGAATAATTGAGAGGACGTTTTTCCCGTCCTGCACCTCTGCTCGACGGAGGAGTGGCCTATCCGCCAATCAGCTAAAAGGGGTATTAAAAGAAATATGTTGAGAGTGTAGTGGCTCATTCACAAAAATTGCACGATCGGTAGCGTTTTTGAATTTTTAGTTTTTGTTTAAAAGTGAAAAGTTTCAACTGTGTCGAAGAGTTTTTTTTTCCCCTCCTTAAATTGGCTATAAAAATAATCGATATTAACATTAAGCTATTCGAGAATAACTTGTAAGAAAAGGAGCTTCTTAAACAGTTTTATTTAATTTAAGATTTTATCTTTTGCAGAATAAAGCTATTTTGCATTCTCAATTTTTTTTGGGATTCAATTTTAAATTTCCTTTAAATATTTGTTTCAAATAATTTAGTTTGACTGCGTTGCAAAGTCGATCTGTTGAATGTATTTTAAAAATTATACATTTTAACGCTAAACTATTTATATTAAAAAAATTAGTATATTTTTGAATCAAGATTTTATTGTCTTTACCTTTCTGCCGATTTGGTCTTAAATGTAATTAAATATTACTCTAAATTATTTATAAAAATTAGGGTTCATTCGAATTGAAGTTTTATCGTCTGTCGAATAAGGCTCCTCAACCTTTTAAAAATTTTCTGCTGCAGTTTTAAACTGTTTCAGATTACTTAGCCTCCTTTTTCAACTAAAATTGTAATTTTTATCTTCTTGCCGTAATAATAATAAATATTTTAAATAAATATGTAAAAAATAAATATTTTAAAGATATTTCTTCGAATTAAAAATTTTATCGTCTGCAGATTAAGACTGCTTTATATTTAAAATTTTTTCGCTCCAGTTTTAAATTTTTTTATATGTTACGGCGAATTAGAATTGGAATGTTTTGGCTCAATAGAAATTTTTTTTGTTGAGCTTGTTTCAAAGTAACACATTTTAACTCTAAACTATTTATAGTAAAAAAACCTCTAAAAATAAATTCTTCCAGCACAGATTTTACTTTTGAATATAAAATAACTTCTAGCTTTTTAAATTTTTGCCCCCGTTTTTAATTTCTTTTTGCAATTAGTTTTCAACAAAAACTGACAACTTTTAACGGAGTTTTTTATTTTTTATTTTGGTGATTTGAACATACAAAGAATTGGTTTTAGAAGCAAGTTGTTTGCAATGTTTTGAAGTCGGTGAAATTTTAAAATTCGACACAGCTCAAAGTGTGTGTTTAAGAAAATGGACTTTGATTGCGATTTTCAAAATTCTCTTATGAGAAATGTTCCTTTTTTTTTAAAAATAAACTAATGAATCCAAATAAATTTGTATTGGGATATCGTCCATTTCCACAAATCGTTTGGTACATTGAATTAAATTTCAGTCCTTATTTTGAAAAGAACTTAAAAGACAACTTTTGTTTTATAAGGTTACTATGGGTGGTATAAACTTATAATTGTTGTAATAAATGTACGTTCTATGAATTTGGAATTTCAAAGCTCACTCTATCATTTAGAGTTCTGAACGCGAAAACAATGCCTGAAAAGTTACATCTGTAACATAGCTAGCCACCTCAATTCCGAAGTCCGGGACTTCGCTAAGTAATTATTATGCTTATTATTTAAAAAAAGTAATCAAAAGTAAGTAGTCTTTATCAGGAGAATACTTACAATACTTGAATTTTATTTTTTTACAATTATTATTTCAGGCAAAAATGACATATGAGAAGACTAAGCTGTAGAAGATTTTATCCATTTACAGACTCCTCTCTATATTACTTTTTTTCCGTACAGATGACATCCGTATTGAAAACGACTCTCCTTTCAATAACTCAAAAAAAAAAAAAAAAAAATAGGCTACTATTAATTTAACCCTCCAATGTCCAAGCAGCAACTTATGTGTTACATTAAATATCGGGAAATCAAGTAAATTACTGTAAAAATATTGTTCTTTTAAAAAAAAGTCGCAAAATTTTTATACCTAAAGCAAAATTTCAAAAAAAAAGAAAAAAAATGATCTCAGAGTAAAGATATTGAGAAATAGAAAGTTTTCTCACGAACGCATTTATTATATTTCCTGAATATAAATTAAATAGCTATTATTTATTAATTAATAAATAATTAAAATTTATTATTTGATTAAGTAGTTATTTTAATCAAATAATTAGTTGTAATTAGTTAATGATCAATTAATGATAAATAAAAGTAATGTAACAGTTTTATTTTGGTCTCTTGCAAAGTACAACTCGTGAGTGGGATTTAAATAAAATAAAATGAATAAATTAAAAAAAAAACTCTTAACTAAACTCGTATTGTCTTTGATAAAATTTGAGCAGTGATAGCACCCTGATTAAGGCACTGAGCTGCTAGCATGGATTAGACCGGTTCTTTTTCTAATGGTGGCTTGAAGTTAATTCAGATTCTGATGGATTAGTTTCATATTGTCTGGGTGTGAAGGTGGTCAGTACGTAATACTGACCATATTTTCAGAGTTCATGTTAATAGTATTGTAATTTTGAAGCCTTGAACTACACGAGTCCCTTGAACGACTATTTGTAGCGAGCAGTATTTTATTGATAAAGTGTAAAAGGACTTAATATATTAAATATATGAATATATGATTTGCTGAATTTTTGGAGATGAAAAAATTTTGCAAGCTAATGATGTACTTTTTGAAAATAAAATTTCGTCTTTATAAAAATTTCCTACTTAAGGACAGAGCAAAATTAAATATCTTAATAAATTTTTTTTTTAGAAATTTTCCCAAGGTTTTTTTAAAAAAAGTCGAAAGTAAATCACAAATGCTTTCATCAAAAGAAATAAAAAAAAAATTAAATAGAGGATCTGGAGTTTAAGACAGAAAAATTTGAAGTACATTTTGTACAAATATATGCATAAAAAAATTAAAAATGTTTTTCTTCAAAAAACGATAATTTAATTTTTATAAGCGTGTGATGTATTTTTAGAATACAAAATTTCACTGAAAAGAAAATTTTATATTCCGATGAATTAAGGATACTTTGCAAAGTTAAAAAAAAGATAATTAAAAATCTCTTTTAATTTTTTTTTAAAATGTAAAAAATAATTAAAAATGCCTTTTTTCCCTCGGAACTTACACAAAATGATTAATTTACCTTACGTTTGAAAAAGGTTACTGCAGTTAAAGTCAGAAAAGTTTAAATTTTTTTTTTTGCAAAGCATTTTTTAATTTAAGCAAGAAACCCTCAATTTTTTTTAAAAACACATATTGTAAGTTAAGAACTTTCTCTCAGTAGTGTAATGTTTAATGACAAACAAAAACTAGGAAATATAATTCTAATAAGCTACTTTTCTGTTAAAATTCAATGACCAGTTAAACTGTGATTTTAGTTTTCGTTCGTAAAATGAACTTATTAAAGCACTGTCAGCTGAAACGAAGTTAATTACCTTATTGAAAGTGTGTCTTTTATTCTCACGTGTTTAAAATACACGTTTTTGCCAAACATAGTGAAAGTGCATCTATCTATATAAATCCAGCGACGAAACCTGCCAACTCCCCTAGGCTATCATGACCTTTCCATTAACAGACAAAATAGCCGATGGTCTCACCTGACCTCGATTTAAACGATTCGCTTTCACCTGACCCTAAACAACGAAATTATGTAAGCGAGCAAGTGCACCAAACATAAAAAGTTAAGGACAAAGAATTAGGTTGAGCATCAAGTGTTTGGATGCTTAAGAAAAGTAAGAACAATAACAATAAAAAGAAAGAATTATAACCCTCAATAAAGTTACACGTGTTTGTGCTGAATTGGACGAAAAAGATACAAAAAATAGTGCAATCTGGTATTTTGTTTTTCTGTTATATTAAAGCAATTAACAATATTATCGATTAAATTATTTAAAAAGCAAACAAACATTCCGTGCTAAAGACAATCTAAGGAGGCTTCTTTTTTATTAATTTATGTTAATGCTTTGGTGATAATTATTAGTGGGAATATGAAAATACGAGGTGATGAAAAATGGAGTTAATTACTTAGAATAGGGGTAATAACACTTTTCAGGAAATGATAATATAAATATCAGCTCTATAAAGTGAAGTTAATTGCTTGAATGAAAATATGATTTCATATTTACGTACTTACAGCGCGCTTTTTTTGGGAAAGTTTATGTGAGCAAATCTCATAAAGTGTTAGTATAACACAAATATAAACTTTAAGCTTTAACAAAAATAAAGCTTAAATTTAATTTCAATACATTTAATTTATAACAGAAATTCAGTGAAACTTTTAGAATAAATTTATATTTCTGACTAGTGATAAGAATTAAAATAAGTTATTAAAAAATGTTTCTATAAATCTTAATAAATAATCTTAAAATTTCTCTATAAATCTTAATTGTATAAAATATATCTTCGAATGAAAAGAGCCAATGTTGGATATTCATCAGAGAATTTAACACAGTTTTTTTTATTTATTTCCAGTTATTTAAAAATAAAAATAGGAGGATAAAGTTGCATTTGAACGATTATTTGTTTACATCCTAAAATAATGACATCATTATATAAGTTCAGGGTAACCAACTTGCTCAACTTTGGGGGGTTCATATGGTAACGGTTTACCGGAAATTCATGTTTAAAAATTATAGTTCTTGTTGCCATACATTTAGTAATATATACGAAAAATGAAAAGGGTGAATTTACCCGAATAAATGGTTTTAACGCCATGTTCTAAGGTATTATGAAATATTCGATGAATTTTACCATATTTATCAAATTTTATCAAGCATTATAAAATCATATTTTATTGTTAATTTTAGTGAAATTATTATCATACAGCTTTGGTAAAAATTACCGAGCTTTCTGATGTTCCATTGAGCCTGAACCATGGTAAATCTTACCACATTCTGGTAAGTTTAACCATATTTTTTTCGTTTAATGTAATGATTTATTGAGTTTTTTAAATAATTTTTCAACTAATTTGAAGTGTTTTCTTTGGTTTTTATGAAATAATTTTGCAACAAAATGCCCTTTTTGGTACATGAAATAGAATAGAAAAATGATTTTTTC